CTTATTTAATAGGAATTGGTCTGTGCTCCAGTTCCCCTGAATTGAGCCTGAATACCTTCCATTTCCTCCCTCCCCACCAGGTGCTGTATAATTCCTGAGTTTAGTGCTCCCCCATGATGATGATAAAATTTAGGGCAAGGAGAGGGGTATGGACAGTCTTTGTAAACCTACAGTTCCCTGTTTACCTGCAGTGTACTAATGCAGTAAATGGAATATTGTGATCTTAGTGTAGGCCACATTTCCTTGTGAACTTGAAAGCCATTTAACCCTCTATTGCCTCGACTCCTTTATTTTGACCTGACTTATTTTTTATCTTTTTCTTCCTCATGTGCTTGTTGATAATAATGCATGACAGACCAAAAAAAATTCATTTACTTTCATCTTTTAATTTGTGGGTTAGTTAAGAATTTCTCCAGGTAGGGTTTTGTGCTTTACTATTCTTGTTCTTATGTCACTTTTTCTTATTACAGTATTTGTATATTATTGCTCTCAGCATCTTAGATTTTCATAGCTGACATCAAATGTTCCTTGTGTATCATTTAATATGGCAACCCTTGAAAATTTTTTAATATCACCGACTCCTTTTGCAGCATGGTTGCGAAATCGTCGTTCAGAACCACCAAGTGAATCAGAATTAAAAGAGAACCTAATTATTGCCACAATGAAGAAACAGAATGCTGACAATCTTTCAAATGAGGATGGCAGGAAAGTTATTTCTGCTGAAAAGGTAATGTACACTGTGTCCAATGTATTCGAGTAATTTTTGTGCCTTCAAATATGTTGTCTGCTGCCATTTTAGGCCTCAGGTCAAGTGTTTGGGTTGCCTTCCACTACTTCACATCTGAGGAAACAATCTAGACCAGGTTGGTCTAGATTAGGGTAACTGCCTCAGAAGCATGTGTAAACAATGCATCCAGGACCTGTCATGCCATCATCTACATCCCTGCCAGAAAGTAGTGTATGAAACTGGCAGGAAGATACCTTATTTGTTCCATATTTATTACATTATTATTATAATCAAGGGGGAAGCGCTAAACCCGGAGGATTATACAGCGCCTGGGGGGGATGTGGAAGGCATTCAGGCTTAATTCGGGGAACTGGAGCACAGATCCAATTCCCTAAATCAAGAGCCCCTCACCAACATCAAGGAACCTTCCTTGAGGGGCATATTTATTACAATTTCATGATACAATGGAATTCAGACAAAAATCACACTTTGTAGACTTACCCAAGAACAACCCAGTACATAAAGTCAAACAGTATGACTTATTTCCATGTTTCAAGAAGTAACACACACCTTGAAGAAATTGAAATACGTATAAAATTTCCTTGTACATAATGTTAGAAGATAAAAGCAAACAGTATAAGTTAAAAATTACTTGTATTAATTTATAGTGATTATTGCAATTGGGGCTATGGCATCCAATCCATCTCTTCATGTTTCAAATACTAAAATACCATGAGCACATCTATTATCAAAATACAGTGGGCCCTCGGATATCGGCCATTCCGGATATTGGCCAGATCGGATTTCGGCAGCTTTTTTGGCCGAAATTCTATCCTGGACTTCGGCCAGCAACTCAGTAATCGCCCATATTGGATGCATAGTAATAATCACTCTAGGGCACATTAAATGTCTTATTTTAGGTTAATATAGGAGGGGTGTTAATGTTGCAGTTTAAAAACTGTAGTGTAAAGCACCCTTCTGGCAAGACAGTGAATGATGGTGAAAGTTTTTCTTTTTCGGGCCACCCTGCCTTGGTAGGAATCGGCCAGTGTGATAATAAAAATAAAAAAAAATAGACATTTTCATTAATCCATCTTTGATATTTTCTTGAAAATTATGTAAGAAACACGTTATATAGCATATAAACATGCAATGTTTATATCCTATCGAGTTTTTTGAGATACGAGCCGTCAATCGGTCGATTTTTTGCTCCGAGTTACGATCCAGCTCCCCCCCACTTCCCCCTCAACCCAAAACCTGGACACCTCTTTTGTTTATCTATGATTTCATGCTTTAATTCCATGGAAATCATTCTCTTTTTCTTACCAGCACTGTCCTTTACAATTACTTTCTTAGGACAATTGGTTAGAAAAGCAAAATTTGGCCAAGTGACTGTCAAAAATGTAAGCAAATCAGGAGAGAACTGCTCCCACAGCTAGGTAAACAGTGCACCAAGTTGACTTCGTTTTGAAGATCTTGTTGTTATAATAATGTATTATTATTATTAATTTAGGGAACTGAGGTTCTGTTGTTATTGTAATAATTATTATAACTATTATTATTGATAATTTAGGGAACTGAAGCCCCTCACCAGCATCAAGGTTCCTTGATGCTGGTGAGGGGCTCTTGATCTAGGGAATTGGATATGTGCTCTAGGTAGTAGGTTGGTAGACAGCAACCACCCAGGGAGGTACTACCGTCCTGCCAAGTGAGGGTAAAACGAAAGCCTGTAATTGTTTTACATGATGGTAGGATTGCTGGTGTCTTTTGTCTGTCTCATAAATATGCAAGATTACAGGTACGTCTTGCTACTTCTACTTACACTTAGGTCACACTACACATACATGTACACATTTATTTATACACACTCATCTGAGTTTTCTTTGATTTTATCTTAATAGTTCTTGGGCTTATTACTTTTCCTTTATCCATGGGGAAGTGGAATAAGAATCTTTCCTCCGTAAGCCATGCGTGTTGTAAAAGTCAACTAAAATGCCAGGAAACAATGGGCTAGTAACCCTTTTCCTGTAAAAAATTACTAAAAAGAATAAGAAGAAAAAAATTGTCAAAAGTGGGAAGTCTGAATGTGCGTGGATGTTGTGCAAATGATAAGAAAGAGATGATTTTTGGATGTTATGAAAGAGAAGAAACTGGATGTCCTGGCTTTAATGAAAAAAAGCTGAAGGGGGGGGAAGTTTCCAATGGAGAAAAAATAAGGGATTAGGTCAGGGGTTTCAAATGAGTTAGGCTAAAGAAGGGTAGCAATAAAGTTGAAGGATAAGCTATGGAGGAAAAGGGGACTCAAATGTATAAATTAAGGATTTTGTGGAGTAAAATAAAGATTGGATGTGAAAAAATGGGTTATAGTAAGCGTGTATGCACCTGGAAAGAGAGAAGGTAGAGGAGAGAGATTTTGGGAAAAAGTTAGTGAATCGTGGGGGGTTTTTTTAATAAGTGTGAGGTAATGGTGGGTTGGGGATTTCAAGTTTTAAATGGGTAAAAAAAGTTTGGAGGGGGTAGTGGTAAAATTTGGGGTGCCCGGGGTAAAATGTAAAAGGGGAGCCTTTAATTGAGCATGTGTAGAAAGAAATTTGGAAATTAAATAATACTATTTTATGAAAAAGAGGAAAAATTTTAAATATCAAGATGTGTAGCACGTAATGAAAGTAGTTTGTTGATTATGTATTGGGGATAAAAGGTTGGGGGTGGCCCCAGGATGTACATGTTTATAGGGGGGAAAACGGGTTATCGGATCATTATTTAGTTGTAGCTCAGTTATTTAAAGGTAGATGGGGAAAAGAGGAAGGTGGCAAAAAAAAGTAAGGGGAGGTAAAAGTGTAAAAACTAAGGGAGGAGGAAGTTCGGGCGGATATAAGCGACTTTTGGGCGAAAGGTGGGCTAGTGCAAGTGAGTAGGGGGGGGGGTTAAGAGGGTTGGAATAGTTTTAAAAATGCAGTTTAAAATTTGTGGGCAGAATTTTGTGGTTATGGGAGGGTGGGGGCGGGAGGAAAGGGAGGATTGGTGGAATGATGAAGAAAAGGGGTGTGAAAAAAGAAAAAAGGGGTAGCTTACGAGAGGTTTTTAAAAGCGAAGTGTTATAAGAAGAGCAGGTTTGGAGAGTAAAAAAAAGGTGAAGAGAGGGGGAGAGATGAAAAAGGAAAGGCAATAAAGAGTGGGGAGGAAATGTCAGAATTTTTAATAAAAATAAAAAAAAATTTTGGAATGAGTTAACAATTTAAAGAAAGTGGGGGAAAGTTGGTTTTTGTCAGTTAAAAACGGTAGGGGAGTTAGTAGTGGGGAGGGGGGTATTAGGTAGAGGGCGAGAATTTTTGGGGAATTTTTAAAGTTAAGGAAGAAAGGGGGCGGTAATTTCATGCAAGGGCCGGGGAGGTATACCATTTTTAGGAGTGAAGAAGGCGGGAATTGTAAGTGTGGTGGAGGTAGTGAGGCATTAGTAGTTTTGAAAGGGGGAAAAGGGGCAGCGGGAAAACTGATGGGATCATGCAAAAAATGAAAAAAGCGGGGAGGATTTTAGGGTTGGGAAGTGGTTGGTACTTTTCTTTTTTAAAAAAATGTAGGGAAAGGGGGGAAAGGGTTTAACTAGGGTTTGGGGGAAAGAGCTTTGTATGTCCCTTTAAAAAAGGGGAAAAAGGGGCCCCAAAAGAGATTGAAAAAAAATTTAGGGGGAAATTTAATTTTTACGGATTTTTAACGGGAAAAAAGTATACGGTGGGGGTTAAAATTTTAAAGAATTAGGGGGAAGCAGAATGTAAAAATTGCGGGAGGGGAGAAAGGGAGGTTTTCAGAGTGGGTGGGCGATGGTGGGATCAAGTGTTTACATTAAAGCTTATATGTAAAACAGTTTTTTTAGTTTAAAGGGTTTAGGGAAGTTTTTATTGTTTTATGGATTTAGAAAAGGCATAGGGATAGAGTGGATAAAAGGGCAATGTGGCAGATTTTTGCAAGTATAGGGAAATAGGGGGTTTAAGTTACTAAAGGTTTGTAAAGGCTTTTAGAGGATAGTGAGGCTAAAGGTTTTGGGGTTGTGTAGAAAAAGAGGGGAAAATTTATTTCCCCGGGGTTAAAAGTAGGCCCTTAAGACAGGGATGGAAAATTTTCCCTGGTTGTTTAATATATTTTAGATGGGGTTTTTAAAAAAAGTAAATGCTAGGGTGTTCGGGGGGGGGGTGGGTTTAAAATTTTTTTAAAATTGGGGAAATCAAATTCAAAAGGGGAAATTGACACATTTACTTTTTGTGATGATACTGTGCTTATGGGAGTTTTCTAAAAAAAAATTAAAAGGTTTGTGGTTTGGTTTGGGGAATGTGTTTAAAAGGAAGGAAAGTTGAAAGTAAACATAAAAAAAAGAGAAAGGTGTGAGGGTATAAATTTGATTTAGTTAAAAAAAAAAATTGGATATCAAATTGGGGAGGAGGGTATGGAAAAAGGGGAATTTTTTTCGATACTTGGGAGTTGACTTTGTCGGCGGATGGATTTATGAAAGGATGAGGAAAAATCATGAATTGATGAGGGAAAAAAAAGGTGAGTGGTGCGTTGGGTTTATGTGGAGTCAAAAAAATTTTATTTTTGGAGACAAAAAAGGGGAAAATTATGAAAGTATAGTATTTCCAAAAACATCTTTATGGATGGGGAAGCTTGGGTGGAAAAATTGCAGCAGCGAGGTGGACGGTTGGAGGCAGTGGAGAGGGTCCTGTCAAAAGGGAAATTTTTGGGGTTTTGGTAAATATTATGCGAAAAATTCAGGTTTTGGGAAATTAGGGGGAAGGTGGGGGAGTTAATAAAAGCTTTAAAGTCGAGGGCAGAAGAGGGGTTGTTGAGGTGGTTTGGTCATTTAAGAGAAGGGTAAAAATTTGAATGACAGGGAAAAAGCTTTTAAAAAATCTATAGGGGGGGAAAAGGGAGGGGTAGGGGTCGTCCTGAAAGGGTTGGAAAGGGGGGGTTTAAAGGTGGTTTTTTTGTGGGGGAGGGGTTTGGACTTC